TTAGCATGAAACAGATCATATAAATGCCCAGTTCTGTTGTGTATACGTTCGGTCTATGGAATGGCAACCCCAAAAGTATAACTTCCTTTTATGACATTTTGGACGGTACTTTCGTGTCGTGTCAGTTGAGGCACGTGTCAGTGTGGCACTTTCCCAACTTCCCCACCTTTAATCGAAGGTATGAAAACCAAGATTGTGTGGCCTTTTGTGTGGTTACAGTCTCCTTCCATTGGATAGAAGTTGTATGAACTTGTTTTGGCAACATGTTCATATTGGTAGGAACACACCTTGTCCGGAGTCCATTGTCTGCATCATCATTTCCAAAGTTAAACCGTGAACGTTGCCGGCGAAACGTTTGGGAATGTACCACGTCCACAGTTCAACTTTGGAAATGATCATGTAGACAATGGACTCCGGACAAGTTGGGTTCCTCTCAGTCTTCTTACCAACATGAGCATGTTGCGAAAACAAGGTCAAACAACCTTCTCTCCTTTCGTGCATCACTTGACGTCTTATGCCCACCAAAATACGCTGCTCCCATATCCAAGACGACGCCACGACGACAGGTCGCGAGCACATCGTCTGGTGGCTAGTATCTGTGGTCGAATTGGTATCACAGCTCTCAGACACCCTTCCGAGTCGGCTGTTGTGGTCCAGACGGATTTAGTGTCATGTGACCTCTGGGTCATGTCTGTCTTCAGCTCAGAGGGCCAGACGAGAATGCCGAAGAGACGACCCTAACAAAGTTGTAACTATGCGCTACGTCTGCAACCCGTAACGACCAAAACTGTAGAATCGACGCAAGTCTTGTTCACGGAAGACGTTGAGAGACTTACGTTTGATTGTAATGATGATGTCCAGCACAGTTCCGCTGTCGGTGTAGCACTCGGACACGTCTATTCGCGCCCATTTGGTTCCGTCGCGAGAGATTTCCTCAAGTTCATCATTGAAAAAGTCTTGAAAATTGAAGAATTCATGAAATTCCTGGTAGATCTAGGGAAAAGAGTGTGAAAATTACTTTATAACATCTTATAGAAGTGCGGGCCACACCATCTTGGACTTTATATCTTTATAAAGTTTTGTATGAAATGTATTCGCGAAAGATAAAGAAATAAAAGAAAGTAATCGAATTTTGTATAGGTTTACTCATTTGAACCGTACATTTTGTTGATTCACACGAGCGCATTTTAATCCATTCTTATTTTATCATGTGCTTATCTTGAATATGTTCTTTTCGTTGGTATTCTCGTAGCATGTGTTATTTCCCTTTTTGCGCATGTGCCAATGGCTCTTTGAAGCAGACTCTTCCAAAATTCTGTCAACGGATGATTTGTCGTGTGGACTTGTCAAAGGTCCTGTTTCGTCAGTTTAATGCGGTAGCTGGCTGGAACAATCTGAAGGATTCTTGGGCAACCAGATTTCACTCCTACTTGTTGGAATCTTGTTCGCTTGGTCAGATTATCATCTGACGTCTGCAAGCTTCTTTTGTTAGCTTTCACTGCGGCTGCGGTTCGAGACTATCATCAATTCTTCAAGTATGCGTCGCTCGAGGTGAAAGTATGCTCACTACTCATACACAATATGAGTAGCGTGGTTGTTTCTGCCGAAAAAAAACAAGTTTGCCGCATCGACAATTGCACAATGAAGACGTAACCTTCTTTGAACGTCGAATCTGCCTCCTGGAACACTGGCGGCCGTTCAACTGAGTTGAAATGGTGAGGTTTCGGCAATTTGTCGACACGATTCGGGATCAGGATGAGAAAACCTTCCAGAACCTCAGATGTTGCGGGATTCAAGGGCATTTTGAGGTCCATTCGTTTCAGCCTTGAATCATGTTCAGCTACCGAGGCTGCATAGCATCTTGCGCGTTGTCATGCTTGTGTCCAGAGTAAGGCTTTCGTTGGCTGTACGTTTGTTCATCAACTCAACACCATTTCTCAATCGCAGTTGGTCCTCCGTTGGCCCGGAGACGAAATGCTTTTCTCGGTTCAGTCTTCTGCCGATGCTCTCCAGGTCCGATGAGGCTCGTCATGCAGGGTCAGACCAAAACCCAGCATCGAGTTGTTCGGTTCGTCGGATGAGGAGGTGAGCAAGTCTGGGCACAATCCTGCCTGGTTGCGACTGAGGCCGAGGTACGAATCTCTTCTTTCCGCCCGACTGTATTAGTTCTCAATTTGGCAGACCTTTTTCAATGAAAGCGCTGCTACAGAGTGATGTTGTTGCGCTGGTAACCGGTAGAATGAGGGAAACGAATTTCAATTAAAAAAAGATTTTGTAATGGGCAAATGAATACTCACATCGCTCGATTTCTCGTTTGTAAGTACGACCCGAATTGGAGCAGAGAATTCTAAGCCTCTGAAGTTGGCCTGAAGGCAACAGGGAAAAAGAAGGTACCAATGTGACCCGGAAGCAAAATCTTGTGGTCCACAAGACCACGGCACTATTATCAAAAAAGGGAACTGAAATTGAAAAGCAATAATGCACACACACACACACACACACTAACACCTACACACCATAAGGACGTCAAAATTGGCCTTTAAGACTACCAATAGATCATATAAATATACGAGATGTCTTCTTCCTATTTTGTCTTGTTCCATAATCTGCTAAGTGGAGTTGATCTGCGATCCAAGAGCATTCGCGCCAGTCTGGCGCAGTGGTTGACGTGTCATTGTTCGAGTCCCGCTTGGGTTGTTGATGCGACCTAAGCGGGCTCGAAACTGCCGTCCATTTCAGCCTGGATGCAAAGACCATTTGGAAAAACACAAGACTATGTGAAATGCATTTCGTTGTGGGAAAATTTATCTACCATTTTTTGTAAATACGAAGAGCAACTGGGTTTCGATGCATTCCACATTTCCGTCCATTGTATGATGGACATCCTCAGAGCTGGAACTAATTTTTGTAAAAGGGTGGTTTGGCTTATTACATTTCATACTACTTTTGCTACTTTAGCTAGAGTGTGTATGTGTGTGTGTGTGTGTGTGTTTGTGTTTGTATTAACGTCTATCCGCAATACGGTGCCTAAAGGAGAGTGATTAAAAGAGGCTACTGTCAGGTCTTTGTCATCAAGGCTTAATGACTGCGTCGTGTTCTGATGAGATGAACCTGCCAATCTCTTCTTCAAGCACTTTCATACGAAATGCCTCGAATGAATACATTTCAAGAAGACAATATCGCATCGGTCGAGCTCTCCACTTTGGCCAGGCTTCGCACCGACGTTGCCGACGAAGCGGCGGTCCATGTACCAAATCGAGTACCTTAATTAGTTAAGTTGTAAAGACAAGGTTAAACCAATTGTACTGACCGCGCCGGGGCAGTAGGGAGGGGCAAGTGTAAAGCAAAGGGTGTGAAGGGTGGGTTTGGGTTGGAGGTTACCTTCACGTAATAGGCATCGACGGTGAAGTTGAACCTGGGATCGAGGCCCGGCGTGAGACCGTTGTAGCGCGTCACGCGATGTCCACGAACATTGTCCTTCATGGGCAGGTGGGAATGTGGGAGAGAGAGAGAAGAGTGTGAATATTTTGGTTCAAGTGGGGAAGAGGGGGGGGCAAGGGTAAGTGTGAGAGTAAAGGAGAGAGCGAGAGAGAGAGAGAGCTAGAGATCATGAAAACGCATGCTTAATCTTAGATTCAAGTCCTTTCCGGCGCCAAGACTGACTATGATTCTGGAAAGAGAACAAAAACTTGGAGTAAAATGCTTTCGTGTCTGGATGGATCTTGGAAACCACCAGTGGACCCTGAACGAGCCCGAATGACTGTCAGTCGAATGTTGCCACCCGTTTGCAGTGAACTCAACACAGCCTCGCTTCGCAAAAGGTCCGTTCGTGAGTGATTTGGCTTCATCAACACCCTCGGCGCGACTCGAACCCGCCTCGTGGCAGCACAAAGTACAGCTGCGACACACCAACCGATACCTCACAGTGCCAGGCGTGTGCTCAGATCACAAAACACATGAAGCAGAACGGACTACGCCTATTTTGCATTTGAAAGTAGGCTTTCCGGGACCTCCAGAACACATTAAATGAGCACATACTGACAAATGCAAATGAGTAGTGCGGTCGAATGTCGTGGCAAATGCGGCTTGGCTCTATT